TTTTTTTCTATTCTCGAGTTTTTTCAAGTTAAATCTTATGTGTTTCTTTGAATTTCTTCTATTGTGCGCTTCTTGCTTTGGATCTCTCGAATTGGTGTGTTATTTTGCAATGTGATTTGGTTTGTAAATCATTCAAATCTAGTTTCTCCCTCTCAACAAGTTGTATAAGAATGAGGTTTTTTGAAGATCTTTGATTTGAATGGGAGAAATAATAGACAAAGCAAGGTACAAAGTGGAGAAGTTTAACAAAACAAACTTTGCATTCTGGAAAATGCAAGTTGAAGATTCATTGTATCAAAAGAAATTGTAAGTGCTATTAGAAGGATCACCAAAAACATGAATATATGACATTGGAAAAATGTGAAATGATTGATCAAACAACATTAGGTTTGATCTATTTTTCACTTTATTCATCTATTGCTTTCAACATTGTTAATGAGAAAATTATGGTGGATCTCATGATAACACTAATAAGGATGTGAAATGGAGTTTTGTAGTTGAATATTTGAATAATTTCAACATTGTGACAAACCAATTGTGTTATGTGGGCATCAAGTTCAATGACAATGTCAGAGCATTCTTAATTCTATCTTCATTGCCAGACAGTTAGGATGTTCTGGTTAAAACGGTGAGCAACAGTTAAAGTAATATGAAGTTAAATTTTGATGATATCATGAGATTAGTGTTGAAAGAAATTTGAAAGAAGGCGATTGGTGAAACTTCAAATTTTGTTTTGAATGTTTAGAACAAGGGAAAGAAATCTAGAAAGGAATATAGTTAGAGACAGAGTCAAGTCAATAAGTGGAAAGCCCAAGTCAGAAAGAGAAAACGACAGAGGTCGTTGTTGAAACTACAACAAAAAAGGTAATTTCAAGAAGACTTGTAAATCTCTGAAGAAAGTTGGTGGTGGAGGTCAAGGCAGAAATCTCTTTACAAATGTCTCCACAGGTAAAATCCAATGTGACTTTCTAGTTTTATCCCTAGACAGCCTTGAATCTTAGATAGTAAATTCAGGTGTCTCTTTCCATACTTGCTCCAACAAAGAAGTGTTTAAAAACTACACTCAGTGATCTAGGGAAAGTGTATTTGGGAGATAATAAGACCTACAATATTATAAGACAGGGCGATATTGATATCAAACTGTCAAATGGAACAATTTTAAGCTTGATGAAGTTAAACATGTTCCAATTTTGAAGAGAAACTTAATCTCTGTGAGCCAACTTATAAGGCCAGGGTACATGACTAATTTCACAGGTGATTCAGGAGAGTGACCAGGGGCAATGGTGGTGGCTCGAAACAATATTGAAGACACACTTCACCTGATCAATGAGATGGTACAAATCATTGATGTGGATGGAACAAAGGTTGATGTAGGTCCTTGGTGCTGCAGACCTGATTATATGAGTACTACATGTACGAAGTATCTAATTTCTAAGAAATAAGCTTTAGGGCTTAAAATCTACAGATCTAGATTTTTGTGAAGACCATGTATATGATAAACAAAAGAGAGTTTATTTCTTTAAAAGTGGGTCAATGATGAGGTCTAAGAAACTGAAGTTAGTACATACTGATGTCTAAAGTCCCACTCAAGTTCAATTCATTGAAAATTCTTACTATTT